TTTAACAATCATATGTGATGATGACGAGAAGCGGATTCTTATAAAAACTGTGTTTTGCGGACAATCCAAGCGACTGATAGAAAAACTAAAAACCTCCTTGTGTGGAGGTAAATCACGGACTTGACCATAAGATTCAGATAACTTGTGTTGAAATCTCTCTAGTTCGTCTATGAATAATAAAACTCTCTTTATTTTTGTTCGCATGTTGAAATCTTTTAAATGTGTAAAAAAAAAAAAAAAAAAAACCTAAGAAACGACAGGTTAGCATTTTATATATAGTTTATGAGGAATGGGATTTGAATGGAGAAGTAAGTGTGAATGTTTATATATTTACATAGAATAGAATTAGAGTTGAGTTGAGTTGAGAAATAAAAATCAAGAAGAAAGGGATGCCAACAACCAAAGGACAGTGTGAGAAGAAATAGCAAGAAGAAACCAAGCAAGAAACGCAAAAGCAATGGAGATCTGGAACATACTGCACGACAGCTGCTGGTCAACTTTGCAATACTCCGAGTCCCTGTCCAACAAAACCATCACTCCAGCTGAAGATGATGACGCAGCAAGTGCAAGTATCGCAGTCACCTGAATTTCAACAAAATATTACGTTTTTCCTCCCTATACCATACCTGATTTCTTCAATTTCCTCCCAAAATTGTTTTTCTTTCAATTTTGGTCCTTATTTAATGTTTTTTTTTTTGTCTTCCTTCCGAGTAAAATGACTATTTTTAAGACCAAAAATAGTCATTTTACTTGGAATAGGGACCAAAACCGTTACAATAAACCTCAAATAAGAACCAGAAATTGCAATAGAGATCTTTTTGGGACCAAAAATTTAGTGCAATTTTGACAAATTTATTTATAAAGAGTAAAATACATTCCTGGTCCCTATATAGCTGATTTTTTCAATTTTGGTCCCAAAAAGTTCTCTCCTGATTTTGGTCATTGTTTGAGATTTTTAGTCCATGTTCCAAGTAAAATAACTATTTATGGTCCTCGAGTATAGTTGATTTTTTGCAATTTTGGTCCCAAAAGATTTTATTTTGTAATTTTGGTCCTTAATTGAGGTTTTCATAACATTTTTGGTCCGTGTTACATGTAAAATAACTATATTTTTGGACCAAAATTACAAAAACCAGCTATACTCAAGGACCAAAAAAAGTCATTTTACATGGAACAAGGATCAAAAACATTACAAGAACCCTACAAATGGGTACCAGAATTGCATGAGAAAACTTTTTGGGACCAAAATTGGAAAAATCAGCTACATCGAGGGACCAAAAATGTAATTTACTCCTATTATAAATCTTGGAAAGCAAGTAAAATGACATACGTACCCAGTCACCAACAACAACAAGGCTTAGTAAGATTTGACTCTGGAGATTTTTTTTAACCCTTAGAGCATGAATGTCAAGACAAGCAAGTCCAAAACTCCATAAAACTTGTAGTCCCATTGCTGCAATTAGATAGCTGATCATTTCAAACATAACACACCACGAATTAGAATGAATGAATGCAAACAATAATATTACACAAAAAAAAAGATATTGTCTCTAGAATAAATAAAATGCATTAAAGACATCCAAGAACCACATTTAGTTTGTGAGTATACTTATTAGGGTTATGGTCATAGAATAGCAACCTACTTATTCATTTGTCCCACCTAGGTCACTGAACTTTTTACATCATTTGGTAACCGGTTGACCAAGTCAAACGTGTGCTGACATGGCACTATGATCACTATATGGGACCATCAATGGTTTGACTTAGCAACTGTAGTTAAGAAACTTGTAACCATGCGTGTGTGAAATGTGAAGGAACAAATGTGACCTCATTAATGACAAAAGAGAGGTCCAACTCCAACATCATAAAAGTATACTTAACTAGAAATTCCATATGTTTTCAATCTTCAAGATTTAAGAGCACAAATAAAAAAGAAACTTAAAACCTCTCAAGGATTTAAGCAACTTGTGACCTTCATCAGCCTTAAAACATAAGTGATCAAAAGTTTACTATGAATCAAATCTACAGAGCATGTTTTTAGATATAAAATTGTTCTCACCAACAAAAAATCTTATAGCCAAAAAACTAAGGCATACTTGTTTTCATTTTTTGGTACTGTATTGAATCCAGAAATTTACCCCGCATCCTATAAATAATTTAGAAATTTTCATTTCTAGTATCTCAACAGATGGGGTACATTCAAGCTTTTCATGTAATTCATACTTATAATTATATCCGTTTTGAATCATATGATGAGATGACCTAAATTGTTACAAGGAGGTTAGATGAAACTTGAAGAATTCCTTGCGACAACATAATCCTTGTAATTAAATTTGCCCTCGTATAGAAACATGATAGATTTTAGAAATTACGAAACAATATATGTAATCGAAGCCAAATTAGAAACAAAACAGTTAAAGGAAATGAGAATAGAAGTAACAGCATCAAACTATAGAAACACAGATATTCATAGCAAGCATACGCCATTTCGGAGCAGTAACTGTGTGTGTGTGTGTGTGTGTGTGTGTGTGTGAGAGAGAGAGAGAGAGAGAGAGAGAGAGAGAGAGAGAGACCAGAAGGAGGTGGCGCTAGAGAAACCGGAAGAAGCAGCCATGACGGCGATAGAAGCAGAAGCAAATAAGCACTGAAAAATCCTCAAGACAAGGCCGCTTGCGATCCCTGGAGTACCAAAGCATCGCTTCATGTCTCTGTCTCACTGATTTTGTTTGTGGTATTTGATAGGAAGAAATCCTGTTACATGTGGTGATGGTGATTGTTGGATGGAGATGAAGATTTATGGTAGAAATTAGGTTTTTGAGATGAAAATGAAAGCGGGATGATGGATCCCTAATCTGACGCCAAATTCGCAGAGAATAAGCACAATACCTGTTGCCCTTTTTTCGGTGATGGAACTTGAAAGTTGAAAGTCAGGAAGCAGCAAACCAATTTTTTAAAAATTTCACAACTTTCTTTGGATTTTCGCAAAACTAACAACTTTCTTTGGTGGTGCCCCATTTCCATCACCTTTTTTCTGTTAACTCACCATTGTCAAACTTGCTAAAAATATAAATTAGTAACCATATTTATGATTAGTTTATTATAATTATAAATCTTTTTAATATATTTAACTTTAAACATAAAATAATCTTCAATTGTAATGAAAATTTTGAACTTTTTGTTTGGAATTTGGTTATTTTAGTTACAATATTGAGCAACATCAGTAAAAAATAGTAACAAAGTTTATTAGTATATATTTCATCTAAGTCATCCAAACTTCTCTTAAAAAGAATTTAACCAGTTAGCCGTATTTTTTGTCTCGATATTGTGAAAATTTTGATTTTTTTTTAAAGTTTTTACCACTAAAACATTTGGTTACCATCACATCTTTACAAGGGTTTGTTTTAGTGGAATTGTTTTCATAATATATATCATTATGTTCATGGATTATAGTAATATTACATGTGTATTGTAGTAATGTTGATAGAGATATTGATTTTGTTTGTAATGATTATTGATTTATTGATGTAAATATTTTTTTGTGTCATATAAAAGTTAATATAGAGATCAAGCTGTGAACATGATAACATGTGGTGGATATATTAATTTATAATCAATGTATAAAGTCATATAGATTACAAAAACACGTGTATCAAAAATAAAAGCTTCTAAAATTCAATTGTACACGCAACCGATAGTTTGACTGGTTCTCTTAAAATGTTCCAAAATTTCAGTTTTTTTTTTCAGTGAATTGATTCAACATTGTCATCCAAATAATCATTTCTGATAAGAAAGTTTAAAATTTTCATATCACTATAATAATATTAAAAGTTGAATGGTAAAATAATTTAAATAGATATCTGAATGGCCTACTTATTCTATAGAACTTACTATGACTTCTTTTTTATAAACAAAAGTTTTTTTTTGGTTTATTTTAAAAATATATGATACCCTTTGACAACTTTACACCAAAGTTTTCGTTTTCTGGGTCACTTAGGTTAGGGGGAGTGAACACGGTGATACTGCAAGGCCTACATAAGTACGTTCAAGGATAACATTAATCGTTTATCAACAATGGCTCAAGCTACATTCATTCTATTTGGTGATACCAACAAGTTCAAGCGGGCCAACAAATACATGAATTTATATATACATAAATTGTGAAACACATGATCGTCTTGTAAAATATTACTTCATTGAGAATTCCATATATGGTGTTGAGCATTGAGCCGTTTAGAACAAGGTTTCGATTGTAACGAGAACGATTCTTACGATGTGTTGATGATATGGAAAGACAATACCCATATTCTAGAATATCATGGATGGTAGAGGTAAAAGGTCTTTTACTCCATAATAGAAGTGTACATCTGCAATATGTCAAATCACATATATGATAGTTCTTAACGCTTGTGATGAGTATTTGAAGATGTCTACAAGAACCTCACGTGAAAGTTTAGATATGTTTTGTGAAGGTATAATTGAGATGTATAGATGAGGATATTTGTGTAAATCGATCGAGAGCGACATATAAATGTTGTATGCGACACATGCATCCATACATGGATTTTCTAGAATGTTAGGAAACCTTGATTGTATACATTGGGCTTGGAGGAATTTTCCAACAACATGGGGAGGTCAATATATGAGAGGTGATCATGAATACCTTACAATTATGTTCGAGCCTCGCAAGATTTATTGGTTTGACATGCATTCTATGGTTTTGCCGATTCCAACAACCACATCAACATCGTCAATCAATTTCTATTATTCGATAATGTATAAAATGGAACCGCACCCAATTGTCAGTTTTATATTAACTGAGAACAATGCAAGCATGTGTATTATCTTGTCGACGTGATATACCCGAATAAGGTTACTTTTATGAAACATTTGCATATCTAAACTATGATAAACAACAAAGTTGTATATAAAAGATATAGGTGTGTATGTGTATCAAAAGCTTATGAAAAGCTATAAGTGTGTATGTGTATCAAAAGTTTATACAAAATCTATACGTGTAGAAACTAAAAATCCATGAAATGCCTTCTATGTGATTTAGAACACATTGTACTCCAAAGGTGGGTACTATAGATATAGCTAAGCATTATGGTTTGAGCTTTATGGAAAGATGTTAGCACAAGCTTATGTGTGAATGTATGTCAGAAGCTTTATAGAAAAATAGGTGTGAAAAGGGTATAAAATGTCTTTGTTGTGATTGAGGATATGAGGTACTCCATGGGTGAGTACTAGGAAATAGATTGTGAATATTTATGATAGGTCATGGTCACAAGTTCCTAAGGTTGGAACTTAGTAATAGGTCCCAGAATGGGGACATAGTTACGAGGGATATGTGTTATCCCAACGGGAGAGGTGACGGGTAACAAGTCACAGCCTCGAGACGTGTGACATCTGTAACACCCGACTTGTCAGACAAAACTCTTAACCATTTATCGCATTTATTTCCTTGGCTTGGACCCGAGTACGTTGGGCGTACATAAGGTATGTCGGGCGTACTCCTACGAATGCATGAGTCGGGGAGTTCCCCTGGTACGCTGGGCGTACCCATGTGTACGCAGGGCGTACGTCAACCAGGGGAAAACCCAATTTTTAGGTTTTGCACCCTATTTAAGCACATTAAGTCCCCCAAGTCCTTCACCTTTTCAGCCTCCATTGCCTCTTGAGCCATATCTCAATACCCTAATCCATTTTTCAAAGAGATTGAGTTTGTATGGGTGTTTTGTGTGTGTGTGGTGCTTAGTGAAGAAGAAGAAGACTTGTAGAGAAGCTTTGGAAAAAAAGGAGCTTGTAGATCTAGAGGTTATTCACCATTTCTAGCTTATTGGAGGTATAAAGCTCCTACCTTGATGATTCCATGTGTTAGATTTAGTTTAGGGCTCATTTTCATAATTTAATGGCCCTTAAAGTGTTTCTTGAGAGTATAAGCTACTCCAGAAGGTTATAGTGACATATGTTAGTGTTTGTGATGTCCCTTGAGCATAAAAATAGTGTCTTGATGGATTAAGCTCAACCATGCAAGGGTTGAAGGCTGTTTCATGAAGTTAGTATGATAAAATCCAAGATTTGACCTTTTTAAGCCATGCAAAAGCATAAAGTTTGCAACTTTATGGCTTAATACACTTAAATGAGCTTTGATCTGAAGTTGGACGTTAGGTCTTAATGAATTAAGACCTCAAAAGCAACCTATGGCCAACTGGGGCGTACGTCGGGCGTACATAGGTGTACGTTGAGCGTACGCACCCGAAGTCTCGATTCCGTGAAGCATCCGAGTACGCCGAGCGTACATATGGTACGCTTAGCATACTAAGTAGAGGGACATTTTTGGGCTTTTAGCTTCGGGCCATCTTGGGCTTTAAGGTTTTAGGCCTTTGTTAGGCCACAAGTCTTTCTGAGCTAGGCCTTTATGGATTTGGGCCCATATTGGGCTCGACATGCCTTTTTGGACTTTTGGGCTAGTTATATTGGGCCTTGGTATGTTGGGCCCAATAAGGAACGGTAAAGCAGCCTTTTAACCTTAAAGCCGAAATTTAGGGTTTGGACTCTCGAGGTGGGTTATTGACCTAATTTCTAATTAGGGTTTTATTATTTGTGAATTAGTGAGAGGATTTCACGATTCAGCAGCTCGAGTGTGATTTGATATCTTCAGTCTGAGGTGAGTTCCCTCCACTTTACTCGTGGGTCGAAGGCACCAATGTCGACCCACTAGATTATGATAGTAGGATGATAGTTGTCTTCGTGACAATTTCATACTATGCCTGTTTATGCTTGTTGTCTTCGTGACTTCCATTGATATGATTGTATGCTTAGCTGTAGGGGTGAATTAGACCCACTACCGGTTGAAAGATGTCGAATGGGGTAAAATAGATCCAGTACCGGTTGAAAGATATCGAATGGGTGAAATAGACCCAGTATCGGTTGAAAGATACCAAATGGGGTGAAATAGACCCAATTATGCTTGATTGTTATGTATGTATGGTATGGGGTATTTTGGGGGAGCTCACTAAGCTTTGTGCTTATAGTTTTCAGTTTATGTTTCAGGTACTTCCAGCTCTGTTCTCGACTGTCCCTATATCGATGGATTCGTATTTACAAGATCTTCAACTCTCATTTACATTGTTTGGCTAACAATCAACCAATTTTAATTTCGATTTCTGTGTAGCACACTACTGTACTCTATCGCACCGAAACTTTGAAAAATCATAACTTCCGCATACGAAGTCAGATTTAGACGTTCTTTATATGCACACTTTCATAATTTCGATTAATACGAATTTCGTTTAGATTATTTATCATAAATAATATTTTATTGTTAATGTTTATTTAGATTTATTTATTAAGTTTTAAAATAAGTTTTTACACAAATATTATATACACATAATATTTGTCCAATTTCAACGCACATAATATATATA